GAAGCCAGCAGAAGTTTCTTCATCTTTCTGGCACATTTTTTAACCTCCTCTGGGGATTTCTCGGTCCCAGCGGTAAATTGCTCTATTGTTTTTGACTAATAGGGGCACATTTGGCTTTAATGAGTCCCGAGCTAGATTCATGGGAGATTAAAAAAAGCAAACAGGAGATTTAAAAAAAAGCAAAGAGGAGATTAAAGAAAGCCAAGCGATTCTTCATTGTCTTGGGCAACGGCGGCAGTTCAACCTTTATTTATCGAGCAATTACGGTTGTTTAACCTTTATTTGTAACCCCCTTAGTGAGGTGGAATTCACAAGCCGTACAATTCTCCTGCTCAGAGCGTGTAATTCGGTGGCTTTGAGTGTGTTCAGAGTTGTGCAATCCTCGCCACAGTCAATTTTAGAACGTTTTCATTATTCTCCAAAGGTTCTCCATCCCTTCAGCTCTGATTTCCCCACCTCCTCCCCCAGCTCCCGGCCACCACTGATCTATTTTTTTTTTTTTTGTCTGTGTGGATTTGCCTGTTCTGAGCATTTTGTATCAGTGGTATTATGCACTTTGTGGCCTTTGGGGCCTGGTCCTTTCAGTGAGTGTGACATTTTTCGGGCTCATGCATGTTCTAGCGGGTACCAGAGCTTCAGTCCTCTGTGTGCCTGAGGAGTCGTCCTTGCTAGGGCTATGCACATTTTTAAAATTCATTGATCCCTGGATGGGCGTACGGGGCAGGGTGTCTTGGTCACATTTCTCTCACTGGAACACAATATCCAACACCTGTAGCTCAAAGGAGGGGAGGTTTATTTTGTCTCAAAGTTTTAGTCCATGGTTGGCTGGCTCCAAGGCAGAAACAAGATGGCGGAAAGGCCTGGGCGGAGGAAGCTGCTCACATCATGGTGGCAGGGAAGCAGAGAGAAGGGAGGAGTGGCCGGACAGAGATGCGTCCTTCCTGGTCACAGTGCCAGTGGCCCACTTCCAGCCAGGCCCCACATCCTGACAGCGCACTGAGCCATGAGCACCTCCGTGGAGGAGTCCACTGGTGGGTACAGCACGTCACCTTGCACACACACAGGATTGTGAGGGACGTTCTAGGTGGGTCTAACCCATTGTAGCTGGCTTCCGGTTTGGGCTTTCCTGAGGACCTCTGATATAGGTATTTGCATACAAACCCTTTTCATTTTTGGGGGGCGTATACCTAGGAGTGGAATTGTTGGATTTTGTGACAGCTCCTCATCGAAGATTTGGAGGAGCTGGTAGACCTTCCCCAGGTGCTGCCCCCGGCACACCCCACCAGGAAAGTCCGAGGGCTTGGTTTCTCTGTGTCTTTGCTGGCATGGGTCTGTCTCTCAGACTGTCTCCACCCCAGAGGGACCCAGCGTTCTCTCATGGTGGAAATCACGCTCACATCTCCCTGGTGTCCTGTGGCCAGGTCATCTCTGGATGCACATGTGTTCTGCCTCTGCTTCCTTCTTAGCTTGGGACAGACTGGGCAGCTGGACAGGTGTTCTCTGCAGTGTGTGTGCATGTGTAACAAAATACAAACTGTGAAGCGCAAGTTTGAGAAGTCCAGGGATGTGGTGTGTGATGCTGATGGAACACAGGACTCCCACTGAAATATCAGTTTCATATAAAAATAAGTTCTTTTTCTGGTGTGTATGCAGTACTGGCGATGAACCCAGAGCTTTTGCAGTGAGCAACATCCCCAGCCCATTTTGTGTTGTCTTATTTACTTACTTTTGAAAGAAGGTCTCCCTGTGTACTGCAAGCTGGCATTGAACTCCTTATGGCTCAGATTCTCGGTGACCCTCCTGCCTCAGCCTCCTGAATGCTGGGATAATAATCATCACCACAGTGTCCAGCAGTTTTTGAGACACTTAGCTGCTCAACTGCCCAGGCTGAGCTTGAAATTGTAATCCTCCTGCCTCAGCCTCTTAAATCAGAAGTTCAAATGTAATTGCTGAACCTGGCCACCCTGCTGGTCCCAGCTGGAGTGCTCAGGGTGACGGCTGTCTCTTCTGTAGGTGGGACTGGGCTCCTTGGGAGGCCTCAGCGCTGTGGTGTGGACCCTGTAGTTGAGGCTGTGGCTGGAACTGGTGCCCTTGGCCCCTCACATTTGCTTTCTGGCCTGGGCGTGGCTTCTGTGGGGCGCTGGTGGGTTCAGACCAGGGACAGCAGATGTCAGGACAGTGAGTTTCCGAGTCGCTGGGTACAGGGCTTTCTCCCCTGCGTCCGAGGGAGCGGGTGTGTGGCGTAATCCACTCCGCGTGGAATGTGAACCGGGAACACAACGGCTCTCTGCTCTCCAAGAGACTGTTTGCTTTTGCAGTTTCTTTCTAATTTGTGCTTCTTCTGTGGGCGGCCCTCAGGGCGGGTTTTTAGGAGGATCTTCTTTCGCGCCATCTGTCTGCCTCAGAGATACCCGATGAAGGTTTCGAGTCTCGGAATGAAACAAGCAGGGGTTGTGTGCTGAGCCTTGTGTTCTGGGGTTGGGGGAGGGAGAGAGACGCTGAAAAAGTTTGATTCTGACGAATGTTAACTCCCATGGAAGGGGCACAAGGAGAAGGGAAAGACCCAAGTAGGCATTCTGAGGAGAGGCAGTCCGAGGGCTGTCTGTCGGAGGAGGCGTTTGAACTGGCCCTCGAAGCAGGATTGGTCAGCATTTAGAAACAGGGGACTGAGGGATGGAGGGCTTTGTCAGGTGGGAGGCAAAGCAGCTCAGAGAGGACTGTACGTCAGGGGAAAGCAAAATAGCAGCACAGCTGGCGCGAGCACAGCCTCGCTTGGTGTCAGGTGTTGCCTAGCGCCTGTCCTGTCTGCCTTTATTCCTCATGTCACAGGGCATGTGACATAGGGGGACACAGTCTCAGAGTTGGGCGAAGGTGGTTGGCTGGGATGTTCAGCGTGGCTCAGGGCACAGAGCTGGGATTTTGCGGGCTGTGAGAGTGACGTGCAGGGTCATGGGGAGCCATAGTGGGTGTTGGAGTCAGGGAGGCACCACCTTTAGGTGGAGGAACAAGGGCGGTGTTTGTGCGGCGGGCAGGGAGATCGGACTCCCTGGGAAAGCGCTTGCCACACCCGGGTGAAAGGTAATTAGGCTTGATTTTCCGCCAGGCAGGCGGGCCGGGAAGTCGAGTCAGCCAGGAACAACACAAGCACGTTCAGCCTTCCTGGCCCCGTCAGGATGCGGGCGCCTCTCCCCGCCGGTCATTTCCTGAAGGTCTTCCTCGTGGACGGGCAGGGGAGCCGGCGCCCTTTCCCTCTCTGCACCTGCTGTGTTGCTCAACGTCCCTTAATCCTATTGTCCTGGTTGCGTCAGACCAGAGTGATGATTTTGAGGCTTCGACAGAGCCTGCCAAAGGAATTATTTTCTTTGCCTTTCGAAAGTAGTAACGTAGGCATGGGTGCCTCAGCAGGGAAAGCCGCTCCCCGGGGCTGCTGCAGGATTTGAAACTCGGCACCCAGGTTGCGCCCCCACGAGGCCAGCGCTGTTCCTCTTCCTTTTTAGTTCCTACATTTATTTTTAAATTATTTCAGTTGACACGTAGCCATTGCACATACTGATATGGGATGGTGATAATTTCATACATGTTTGCCACGTGTATGGATCAAATCGTCTCTGACATTTATTATTTCTTTGTGGCAAGAGCATTAGGAAGAGCTCCACTAGCTATTCTGGAATATTGAGGTATGATGGGAAAATTAGTGAATATTTCAATTAAAATAATATTATAATAAAAGACACATTGTCATGGATCCTTCTCAAAATCCTCTCCCTTGCTTCAGGCACACTTATCCCACCGTCCTTGCCCCTTTCTGAAGCAGTTCTGGAAGTGTTCTTTCGTGAGTGTCCTTGGTTGCACTGCTGTGGCTGCCTTGATGTCCTGAACTGATTCAAAACATTTCTCTGTTAGGGTCATTTTGACCTTGGGGAAGAGCCAGCAAGCACACAGTGCCAGATGCAGTGAGTAAAGAAGATGAGGACACACTGATATTTTTAGGAGCCTGCCCTTCTCTCGGGAGCAGTTGTATTTTTCACCACATCTCATAAAGACACTCACCGAAGAGGACTTCCAGAACTGCTTCAGAAAATTGCCAGGTTGATGGAGTGGTTGTGTTTGAAGCAAAGGGGAGGATTTTGAGGGGCGTGAATAGCAATATGTCTTTTTCTTTTGTCTCTTTGAGACAGGGTCTCAGTATGCAGTGCAGGCTGGCCTTGCTCTCACTTTGTAGCCCAGGCTGGTCTTCAACTCCCAATGATCCTCCTGCCTCAGCCTCCACAGTGCTGGGATTACAGGTGTGCGCCACCACACCCAGCACAGCAACGTGTCTTTTACTGTCATAAGTTTTAAAAAATGTAAGCGTCCACCTAGTAATGTATTTGATCATTTCTCGCACCACACAGCGTCACTCACTGTCCGGGCTGCCCAGGAACACAGCAGTGATTCCTCCTGTCTGCTTATCCCTTTGTACCGTCAGCCAACCTCTCTCCTCCTCCTCACCCCCTCAGCGTCGGCCACTGCCACTTTGCTTTCAATTTCTATGAAAGCAGACTTTTCAGATTCTGCCTCTGTCTTTCTGTGCCCCAGCGTAGTACGCGCCTCGGTCCGCTGGGCTGCTGTGAATGTCTTCAATGTCTTCCGTCACGGTTGCGTCACGTGTCTGAGCTGCATTTCCCTTATCCATTCATCTACTGGCTGACCTTGAGTCCACGGCCACTATCACAAAGGGACACGAGAAAAGGAAGGGTGGGACACGCGCAGGCACCGTCAGTGGGGTTGGGAGGTGGGTATTTGTGGGAAATACTGCAGACCTTCCTCAGAGCCCTAAAGATAGAAATACTGCAGCATGCAGCGGTCCCAGGACTGGGCACGTATCCAAGGGGTGGGCGGTGGCAGAGGGGAGTGCGTGACGCCACCTGCCATCCCGGGAGTGGGAAGCAGCCCTTGGGGTTCTCACCTGCTGGGACATCTGCTCATCTGTCTCGCTTTCCTCTTGTCCCCACCTCCAGTGTGTCCCGGCATGGACATCCGGAACAACCTCACCAGGCTGCACGAGCTGGAGAACTGCTCCGTCATCGAAGGACATCTGCAGATCCTCTTGATGTTCAAGACGAAGCCAGAAGACTTCCGTGACCTCAGCTTCCCCAAACTCGTCATGATCACCGATTACTTGCTGCTCTTTCGGGTCTACGGGCTCGAGAGCCTGAGGGACCTGTTCCCCAACCTCACGGTCATCCGCGGCTCCCGCCTCTTCTTCAACTACGCACTGGTCATCTTCGAGATGGTCCACCTGAAGGAGCTGGGGCTGCACAGCCTCATGAACATCACCCGGGGCTCCGTGCGCATCGAGAAGAACAACGAACTCTGCTACTTGGCCACCATCGACTGGTCCCGCATCCTGGACTCCGTGGAGGACAACTACATCGTGCTGAACAAGGACGACAACGAGGAGTGTGGGGACATCTGTCCGGGCACCACCAAGGGCAAGACCAGTTGTCCTGCGACAGTCATCAACGGGCAGTTTGTGGAGCGGTGCTGGACTCACAGTCATTGTCAGAAAGGTACGCTGGGGACCGGGCTCTCCTCCCCCTTCTCAAGACGTGGTCGTGGGGCAGGGGCTGGGGACTTCGGTGAGGTGGAGATGGCACACGCTCTGCAGAGCCTTGGTGGAGAACACTTCAGGCTCTGGAGCAGTAGCCCTGCCTTATGCGGGAGGCAGCGGTCCCTGAACCTTTTGGCACCAGGGGCCAGTTCCATGCGGGACAGTTTCTCCACGAATGGCTTGGAGAGATGGGTACAGGGTGAGTCCATGGAGTTGCAAGCGCAGGTCCCTTGAGTGTGCAGGGGACAGGGTTCGTGCTCCTGTAGGGAGCAGCGCGAAGTGCCTGGAAACGCAGATACGGTTTTCTTGGTCACCCGGAGCTCACCTCCTGCTGTGTGGACGGGGTCCCAACAGATCGGGGGCTGGGCACCCGGGGACCCCTCCTGCGGGGGATCTGCGTCAAAATCCCCAAAGCCGCAAACAGTACTCAGCCCAATAAGGTTTCTTCTTACACGTCGGTACTTATGGGGAAGTTTAATTTATAAAGCAGGCACAAGAAGAGATGAGCAGCAATGACTTAAGAATACTCTAAACACTCAGAATAATATACCGCAACAAGATATCCCGTCACGTCAAGCACTGTGACGCCGTCCATCTGATAACCTCCTGGCTGCTAAGTTGCTAAAGGGTGGGGACGCTGGACAAAGGCAGGATGCACGGTCCAGGTGGGGCAGAGCAGGGTGGCGTGAGATCGCATCGCGCCGCAGCTCACTGTGGAAACTTATTTGTGGGATTTTTCCATTCAGTATTTTCAGACCACAGTTGACCGTGGGGAACTGAAATCGTGCAAAGTGGAACCTCAGATGGGGTGAGGCTCCTGTACTGAACTCTGCCACTGCAGTGGGCCAACAACCACGGCTAGGTGTAAAAGTATGGCGGGGCAGGGGGCCGCGTCTCAATAAAACTTTATTTACACAGACAAATTGGGGCCAGGTTTTCCCCAAGGGCCCATCAGTTGCCTCCTCATATGCCAGACAGTGCATGCCCCTATGTTCCTCTTGCCTGAGAGAGGGAAAAGAGTGGTAGAGTATGCATTTATTTTTCAGAGAAAAACAAATTTATTTTTAACTGAATATAAAAAATCAAAATGGCCATGATAGACACTTGGAAAAAAAAACTGCACAGGAAGCAAAACAGCTGTCTTCGGCCCCGGGGAACCTTTGCTCATCGAGGTTTATTAGGGACACTTCCTGCTAGTGAGTATTCAATAGGTCTGTTATGTGTTAATGTCTTTAACCCTCTCTGGGGTTGTGTTAGGATCTTTCCGGCTTCCATCAAGGCATCCGGGGTTCAGGCTTTAGCTAGCGTTTATTTCTTTGGGCCTGTTTTCCAGAAATGAAATTTCTGGGTCAGAGGCTCCGGCTCAGGATTGCCACATGGCTCTCTGGAAATGTTGCACCCGCAGCCCGCTCCTTGTCGCGTGGGACTGGAGGGCGACGCCTTGGCCACCTCGAGTGCTGTTTGCAAAATCTTTTGTAATTTACTCGGTTCTGGGAGGAGCCTGGTGTTGACATGGTTTCTATTTGCATTTCTTTGATTGCCATCCGGGGATGATAAATACGTTTGTTTGTTTATCATTCAAGTGTTCTTGTCTTGCTTATATATCCGTGGTCCGTTTATCTTCCAGTACCTCGGCGGTTTTTAGCACTTTCATTAGCACATGTGCGTTGCGTTTGTATCCCTGGCGGCAGGGGTGGTAGCGGTGGTGTTGCGGCTGCGCGTAGCGCGTCTCAATCCCTTTCCGGCCGCCTCCGTCCGCTCCATCTCCTGACCCCGCCCCCTGTGAGGAAGCTCCATCTTCCTGCTTCCTGATACCCGTCTTCTGTTTTGCTCTCGGTTCGCACCCCGTGGGTTTTGGAAGTCTCATTCCTACGCGGTTTTCCTGCGTGATGTCTGTTCGCTAACCCTTGACCAACGTTGTCGCCCGGCTGGGCTCCGTGGTGCAAGGGTTCTGGGACGTTCAGGCCTCAGGTTTTGCCTCTGCTTTCTGTATTTGGGGTCTGCAAAGCCACTCTGTACCCGTAAGACAGTTTTCCCACCATGTTTTAATTATGATTGTTTAAAAAAAACCTTTCATCCTCAATACTTGGGATTTATTCGTGTGTATGACACACCCAAATGATGAGTTGGGGTCTCTGGTATTTACGGCAGAAATCACCCCAGCTTCCTTGCTTCGGGGTCTGTCGCCATCTCTCTTTGAGCCGTGGAGGTTACTTTTCTGAGCATCAGCTTGATAACGTTTTCCTGTCCAAGCCGCAGTTCCGTGCACACATAGAGCTCTTGTTTATTGCTTTATTGGCTCTTCCCACATGTTGTAAAATTCTCTGGGAAGAACTAGTGAACGTGAGAATGGGGCAGGAGAAAGTGAGTGGGTGGCTTGAAGGTTGTATCCCAAAAGATAGGGCAGGGGAGAAAGGAGGGTCTTTTCACCCAAGGTCAAATAGGTGGGGAAGACATGGGAAAGGGAGGTGGGGGGTGGAGAGCGCAGAGTTTTGTAGAGCTGGAAGGCAGTGGTGATTTAGAAGGCTGTGGAGGTCTGAGGAGGGGCAGCATGCGCTTAGGAAGAGGGGAGGGCGTGATACTGTAGGTGGAACCTGATGTGTAACGGGGGTGGGGGGTGGGCAGTTATCTTCCTGTAGCAACCAGAGAGGTTACTTAGCTTGCCCCAGGCCACACAGCTAATAAAAACAGGGCTGGGCTTTGCACCAACTTTACAAAAGACACACACACACACACACACTTTTTTTTTTTTTTTTATGGTGGCAGTGGCATTGTCCACTCTGTTTTAGAAATGCTGGAGCTGCTTTTACCCAAAGGGTACTAGGGTAAAAAATGAACAATCTTTCCTTGGCATGGTGAACAGTCTTTCCCGGGCATACTGTTCCATGTGTATATTAGGCCCAGCTCTTTGGGAGGCTGAGGCGGGAGGATCACTTGAGCCCAGGAGTTCTAGATCAGCCTGGGCAACATAGTGAGACCCTGTCTCAAAAAAACAAAACACAAAACAACACACACACACAAAAACCAAATAAAAAGAAAAGGAAAGAAAAAACAACAACAACAATAAATGAATTCTTCAGCCAGCGTTGATTTCTCCAATTTAGGTGCTTGTTTGAAATGTTCAGTGTCTTGAGGTAGAATTTAAGCTGTTCCTACATGGATTCATTTCTGTATCCACTTCAGTCAGATACCCAGGCTGGAGTTGTCTGGGTTTAGTCTCCTGGTCTCTGAGATGCCCAGGAGCTGTTTCTTGGAAATGTTTATGTCTTTTCTTGTTGGCCTGGGCTTGTCCCTCCGTTTGTCCCTGGGGGAAGGTGTGGCCGCAGGGACTGCCCTGTGGACAGAAGGCCCCTTGTGGGGGGTCCTGTGGCCTGCCTACCGCCCCTGCTGTGCCCGGCCGGGCGTGTGGTCTTGTCCTGTTCTCAGGGTCAGCACACCATTGCCTTTTGAGGGCCCGCCCATGTGTGCTGAATTCAGCTCAGCCTTGCGCTTGTTCTGCTTTGTTTTTTGTTTTTGCTTTTTGGTTTTTTGAGACAGAGTCTCGCTCCATAGCCCAGGCTGGGCTTGCGTTCGTGGTGATCCTCCTGTGTCAGCCTCCCAAGCCCGTGTCACCGTGCAAGGCTGTTTGTCCTTGTTCTGCTTTAAACTCAGTTTCTTTATTGTAAATTTTGCATAATATGAAATTTAGCGCGGAACCCACTTGAAGCCCACAGCTCACCGACACATGGCACATTCCCCTGCCTGTCTAATCATGCCCCTGGCTCCAGCACTTTCTTATCTCCCCTGACTGAAACTGCCCGCAGCCCCTGGTATGCACCATTCTACTTCCTGTCCCTGTTGATCTGATGACTGAAAGGACATCTGGGCAGTGGGTGCCTGCCGTGTGTGTCCTTTCACCAGATGTCACGTGCTCAAGGTTCACCCACGTTGTGCCGTGTGTCATAATTTCTCTCCTTTTCGTGGCACAATACTATTCCATCCAAAAGTTGCATGCTTGGGTTACTTTCACGTTTCAACAACTCCAGATCTTGCTGCTATGAACATGGCTGTGACTTTCAAAATGCTTATGTTGACCTTGTTGCCTTGGCTTTAGGAGAGGCTTATGTAGTATCTGGTGGGATTTAAAAACATAAAACAGACCAACACGAGCCTTTGGAAGATATTCCTTCTGAGGAGACAGAAGCAGAGCCCGGAAGAGTGTGTTTCAACTCCTTCCCCCCTCAAATCTTCTCACGTATCTTATTTGGGCACCTTGGCCACCATCGCTTTCTTGCCAGCTTCCCGAAGCACCCAAGGTGACTCCTCGTTTTTGGGATCAGGGCCTGGAAGGGACCGGCCTGCGCCTTGAGGCGGCCAAGATGGCGGCCAAGATGGCGGCCTGTGCGGCGCCCACAGCGGGACGGAGCATCATGTGGCGGGGAGCGGGCCCAAGAAGCAGGACACAGGACACGGCTTTTCCTTGGTCTCCAGAGCCGCAGGACAGTGCTGAGGTGGGGGCCTTCTCCTGGCCCCAAAGCTCAGCCTCTTTGGAGCCCTTTGTAGGTGGCCTTGGCATGCCGGGAATCAGGAAGCACTGGCTTCCAGTCTGTCTCGGCATGTATGGGTTGCAAAAAGGACCAAGCCTCAGTTTCCCTCTCTGGAAAATGGGGATCCCCATGGGACCTATTTGGAGCTTACGTGAAATTGTGTAGGAGGTGCAGTTAGCGCCTGGCACTGCACGAGCCTTCTGTGGGTTCACCCCGCTGGGTGGCCCCGCCGCTGGGTGAATATGGCCCCATTTCTCACTCTGGTCTTGGGGTGCATGAGGACCATCTCCCATGTTCCCGCTGATACGGTGGGCGCCGCAGCCACAGCCCCGAGGGAAGACCACCCTGACCCCGGGGTGGGGGGCAGAAGCTGGATGGGCTGGATTTCCGGCACGGGGCACTTTGAGGGACGGAAGCCCGGGCCTGCTGGCCG